GATTTTATGATAGTTTTGGTTATTCAAAATTTTAACCCTTTGTGGGGAGGTACCAGCAGGAATGGTCCGAAATCTACCATATTTATAACAGATCTTGTTTTAATGTTAATATTGAGATGTGCCAAGTCTGAGTGGAATTTCACATTTTATGAATTTCATGAATATTCAAAACGTTGACCCTCTGTGGGGGAGGTACCAGAAGGGTTGGATTGATATATCCCATCTTTACACCAGGCCTTAGATTAATAAAAATATTGTGATGTGTGTAATTTGAAGACATTCGAACTCTTACATCACATTTTATAGGAGTTATAATTATTCAAAATGTTGACCATTTGTGGGGGAGGTACTTGATAGAGTGCACCGATATGGTACATTTTCTCACCTGACCTAGCACTGATGAAAATGTTAAGATTTGCAAAATTGGAACAATATCGGATTATCCTTTCTTTTTCTGTCAGTAAAATATATACTTTTTTAAATTTCGTTCTTTTGTGGGGGAAGTACCAGAAGGAATGGACCGATATCGCCCATCTCCGAACTCGATCTAAGTTTGACAAAAATATTACGATGTACCAAGTTTGGACCAAATCGGATACTCCCTTCGAGGGTTATCGTGCGCATCAGCCAGATAGACAGACGGACGGACGGACGCTAGATCGACTCCAAATGTCCTGAAACGGGTTTGGTCCAAGGAGACCTAGGGTATAAAACAGTTATTTCGATGAGTCACGTTTTGGCCGTATCAAATGATATATACCCTCTCTGTAGCCATATATAATTTTTCTATAATTTATTAAATAGCCTCATTATGAGACCACTTTTTGGATCGGTATTTTCCATAAGCTTTCAAATATTTCAAATACATTTTTAATATCGGTGTAGTATATCCAGGACTAGCATCCGGACTTTCGGGTCAAATATCTTGGACCCTGGGTCCGTTCCCCTGTGCCAGAATCAGGATAAACACACCCACCTCTGGAGAAAATTTATAGAAAATTTTGAAGATCTTTACTAAACTAGGGTTAAGCCAAAATTAGTTTCCTTTTCTTGCATCTATGATTAATGGCCACAAGCATAGATGCGAGAGTAGGAAACTAAGGTTGAGAGCAAAAACAGATTTGTTGTTTTTAACAAAATGGCATGAACCCAGTGTCACTTCAATAAAATTCCAAACCAATTATTATTTATTCTAAGAATATATATTAGTGATAGTACTCTGTGTTTTCATCCCGAAAATTTGCATTGAAAGAAACCTCGTCTACCTCTTTCAATGATCCTTTGATACCACGAAGAAGGTAATCTATCTCAGGCTCTCCCCCAGGTCATTCTGAATAGTTGGAATGTTTCCAAATTATCTAAATTCCTCGTAAACTCCATTGGCGCCACATAGCTCTACCCTCTCAGGGAGGCCTATCGTTTTATAAGATGGCACAGATAATGATACCTTGCATTATCTATGACACCAAATACTTGAGGACATTGTTTCCACTTTCTAACTTCAACACAGATAGTGTTTTTCTTTTTTTCAAACGCTGCATCGCAACATTATCTTCCGACTTATTTTGGAATTTACTGTGAATGAGCGTTACTGAGAATTTTCCTTTGATTATCATTTTTTTGGAAATATTATTTAAATGACATAAGCAAATTAATTTTGGGACAACAAACCAATCTTTGATTTCTTTTTATTTTCAAAGAAATATTTTGTTTACTTCGAGCACGATGATAATTAGGAAAACTAGAAAAAACCAATTTGGATATATTTGATCTCCCTTGACACTGGAAAGAAAGTGCATTTTGAGTATACGCAACATCTTTTTATATCCTCAGCCATATGTCTAGAGAGAGGGTGTATATCATTTGATACGGCCAAAACGTGCTTCATCGAAATAACGGTTTAAGACCCTAGGTCTCTTTGGACCTAATCCGTTTCAGGACATTTGGAGTCGATCTAACGATGTCCGTCCGTCTGACTGGCTGGTGCGCACGATAACTCTCGAAGGGAGTATCTGATTTGGTTCAAACTGGGTACATCGCAATATTATTGTCAAACTTAGATCGAGTTCGGAGATGGGCAATTTCGGTCCACTCCTTGTGCTACCTCCCCTACAAAGAAAATAATTTACTGCACAGAAAGAGAAATTATAATCAGATTTTGCTCCAATTTTGCAAATCTTATTATTTTCATCAGTGTTAGGTTTGGTGCGAAAATGGAGAATATCGGTCTACTCCAACCACTAATTTTCCCACAAAGGGTCTAAATTTCGAATAATTATAACTCTTATAATTTATGATGTAAGAGTCCGATTGTCGTCAAATTACACAATTCAAAATATTCTTATTAACACATGGTCTGGTGTACAGATGGAATATATCGGTCCACTCCTTCTGTTACCTCCCCCACAAAGGGTCAACATTTTGAATATCCACGAAGCTAATAAAACACGAAATTAACATCCGATTCCATTCAGACCTGACAAATCTCAATACTACCGTCAACACCAGATCTGTTATAAAGGTGGTAGAAATCGGACCATTCCTTCTGGTACCTCCCCCACAAAGGGTCAAAGTTTTGAATAACCAACGACGATCATAAAATCCGAAATAGGCATCCGGTTCTCTTCATATTTCACACATCGCAATATTTTATATTAACCTGAGGTCCGGTGTAAAGGTGGGATATATCGGTGCATTCCTTCTGGTACCTCCTCCACAAAGGGTAAAAATTTTGAAAATCCATAAAGCTCGCAAGAAACGAAATTAACATCCGATTCCATTCAGACTTGGTACATCTCAATATTTTAATCAACACAAGATCTTTTATAAAGATGGTAGAAATCGGACCATTCCTTCTGGCACCTCCACCACAAAGGGTCAACGTTTTGAATAACCAAAAACGATCATAGAATCCGAAATAAGCATCTGGATGTCTTCAAATTACACACATCACAATATTTTCATTTACACGAGGTTTGGTGTACAGATGGAATATATCGGTCCACTCCTTCTGGTACCTCCCCCACAAGAAGTCAAAATTTTGAATATTCATGAAGCTCACAAAATGAGAAATGAGCATTCGATTCCATTCAGGCTTGACACATCCCAATATTTCCATCAACACAAGATCTGTTATAAAGATGACAGAGATCGGACCATTACTTCTGGTACCTCCCCCACAAAGGGTCAAAGTTTTGAATAACCAAAACGATCATAAAATCCAAAATAAGCATCTGGTTGTCTTTAAATTACGCACATCACAATGTTTTTTCTATGCGAGGTCTGGTTTGAAGATGTAATATATCGGTCCACTCCTTCTGGTACCTACCCCACAAGGAGCCAAAATTTTGAATATTCATGAAGCTCATAAAACGTGAATATAACATCCGATTCTATTCAGGCTTAGCAACACAAGATCTGTTATAAAGATTGTAGAGATCGGACCATTCTTTCTGATACCTCCCCCACAAGGGGTCAACGTTTTGGATAACCAAAACGATCACAAAATCCGAAATAAGCATCTGGTTGTCTTCAAATTACACACATCACAATATTTTTACTAACCTGAGGTCCGGTGTGAAGATGTGATACATCGATCCACTCCTTCTGGTACCTCCCCCACAAAAGGGTGAACATTTTGAAAATCCATGAAGCTCACAAAACACAAAATTAACATCCGACTCCGTTCAGACATGGTACATCTTAATATTTTAATTAACACAAGATAAGTTATAAAGATGGTAGAGATCGGACCATTCCTTCTGGTACCTTCCCCATAAAGGGTCAAAGTTTGGAATAACCAAAACGACAAACTGGAGGTCGTCTTCATAAACGAGCTGGAGGTCGTCTTCATAAACGAGCTGGAGGTCGTCTTTATAGACGAGCTGGTGTAGGTCGTCTTCATAGACGAGCTGGTGTATGTCGTCTTCATAGACGAGCTGGTGTAGGTCGTCTTCATAGACGAGCTGGTGTAGGTCGTCTTCATAGACGAGCTGGTATAGGTCGTCTTCATAGACGAGCTGGTATAGGTCGTCTTCATAGACGAGCTGGTGTAGGTCGTCTTCATAGACGAGCTGGTGTAGGTCGTCTTCATAGACGAGCTGGTGTAGGTCGTCTTCATAGACGAGCTGGCGTAGGTCGTCTTCATAGACGAGCTGGCGTAGGTCGTCTTCATAGACGAGCTGGCGTAGGTCGTCTTCATAGACGAGCTGGCGTAGGTCGTCTTCATAGACGAGCTGGCGTAGGTCGTCTTCATAGACGAGCTGGCGTAGGTCGTCTTCATAGACGAGCTCGAGATCTTAGGTCAGAGGGGAATTGGTCAATATTGGCCAACTGCTTCGGAAGGGTCAACTGTTTGCATAATCATAACTCAAGGATGGGGGCTTCCATCTGTCGGCAAAACCGACTGATACTATTTTTCTTGTTTTATTCATATTTCGATTCAGTGCTGTTACCATCCCATCCTTCCTGTTTTCTTTCAAATATCTTATCAAATATAAATTAAATATCAAGTAGGCACTTCAATTTGCCTAAAATGTATTCAAAAGGCCTCTTATTTCCTAATCCCTATGGCAATATGTGGAAGATTAAGGGGTGTTAACATAAGTATTATTTATTTCTTAATTCTTATACCCTACTGGGCACAGGGTATTGTGTTTTTGTGCATTTTTTTAATGTAGAAGGAAAGGAGATAGACTACAGGCCCTTTTGATGATCTCCATGGAGTCACATTCTGATTCAATTTATGCCTTTAGTAAATCTTCCAACAGGACATATTCAATATTAGTATAGGGATTGTTAAAATTTATCTTTAAAAAATACTTTAATAACTGGCAAGTTTGGGTAAGAGTTCAGCAATAGATTCTGATTCTGGAGCTTAGGTTCCCAACTATGCGAAAATTCTTTCCATAAAATACCTCAGTTCTAAAATTTTATTTCAGCCATTTTCCCCTCTAAAATATCACAACTAATTCCGCCTTTTTCTTCTTTTTCCCCCACAGATACCACAACCACCGTCGATTGTACCATCAGCTCGGAGAGCAAAGGCCAAGAATGTCTCGACAATGTCTGTCAACGTTTGCTCATACAACAGCCGGAATTTTTCGGTCTACGCTATATTGTCAAGGGAAAAGAAGATGAAATGAAATGGATCGATTTGGAACGTTCCCTTAGTCGTCAGCTGGAAAAATATGCTGCCGGTACGAAAATCTTTCTGCGCGTACGACACTATGTTACAACGGGTGTACGGCATTTGAGTGATGAGGTGACGCGTTACTACTACTTTCTACAGCTGAAAAACGATATCTATGAGGGAAAGATTGCCTGTGATATACGTACGGCCATACTGTTGGCCCTCTATTGTCGGCAGGCGGAATACGATAGTTATCAGAGCGATAAACAGAGTAAAGATTATTTGAAAAAGTCATTGGTATTGCCGAAAAATCTACAAGGTGAGTTTATATCTACAGCGGTGAGGAGGAGGTGGGGGAGCACTCCCTGGAATTCTTTCTAATTGAATCAACAATTGCCAAAACAATTCAAACTTTAAAACCATTAAGGTAGAGTCAAAAGTCAGGCGGGCCGACTATATGATACCCTACATTACTATGCATATTTGGTAGAACTCCCGTAACAAAAAATAATTTATTTGAAGGAGATCATACCACCCATCAACATTTGGCTTTAGAGCATTTATAGTTTGGTTTCAGAGGTAACTTATATATGGCAGGCATATCCAATTCTGAATCGATTTTCACTAAATTTGAGGGAGATACTTTAATTGCTATAAAGTGAATGATATCGCTTCGAGAAAGATTATATTTAAAAAATATATATCGGAGCCGATTCCACAAAATGGAAAAGTACGTCCCGAAATTCACTCCATTTTGGGCTGATATTAGCCATTATTTTCACAATAAATCTGAAATCGGATTAAGGATATATATGGGAGCTATATTCAAATCTGAACCGATCTCGGTAAAATTTGGCAAAGGTATTTCCGAGCTCTATACGATATCTGGTACCAAATATCATTGTTTTCGAATGCATATTACGAATGTGAGGGACTCAAACACCAAATCGGATAAAACATATATATGGGAGCTTTAGCTATATCTGAACCGATTTTCACCAAATTTGATGTACTTGATCCTGGACTGGATTCGGTCGTATGTGCCAAAATTCAGGTCATTTGAACTGAAATTGGCCATTTGGTGCACAATTAATCCGAAATCGTTTGAAGATATATATGGGAGCTATATCGAAATCTGAACCGATTTTGATATAATTTGGTGGAGGTATTTCTGGACTGTATCTGATATCTGGTACCAAATATCATTGTTGTCGAATGCATATTACGAATGTGAGGAACTCAAACACCAAATCGGATAAAACATATATATGGGAGCTATAGCTATATCTGAACCGATTTTCACCAAATTTGATGTACTTGATCCTGGACTGGATTCGGTCGTATGTGCCAAAATTCAGGTCATTTGGACTGATATTGCCATTTGGTGCACAATTAACCCGAAATCGGTTGAAGATATATATGGGAGCTATATCGAAATCTGAACCGATTTTGATATAATTTGGCGGAGGTATTTCTGGACTGTATCTGATATCTGGTACCAAATATCATTGTTGTCGAATGCATATTACGAATGTGAGGAACTCAAACACCAAATCGGATAAAACATATATATGGGAGCTATAGCTATATCTGAACCGATTTTCACCAAATTTGATGTACTTGATACTGGACTGGATTCGGTCGTATGTGCCAAAATTCAGGTCATTTGGACTGATATTGCCATTTGGTGCACAATTAACCCGAAATCGGTTGAAGATATATATGGGAGCTATATCGAAATCTGAACCGATTTTGATATAATTTGGCGGAGGTATTTCTGGACTGTATCTGATATCTGGTACCAAATATCATTGTTGTCGAATGCATATTACGAATGTGAGGAACTTAAACACCAAATCGGATGTAACATATACATGGGAGCTATAGCTATATCTGAACCGATTTTCACAAAATTTGATGTACTTGCTTCTAGACTGAATTCGGTTGGATGTACCAAAATGCAGGTCATTTGTACTGATATTGGCCATTTGGTGCACAACTAACCCGAAATCGGTTGAAGATATATATATGGGAGCTATATCGAAATCTGAACCGATTTTGATAAAAGTTGGCAGAGGTATTTCCGAGCTCTATAAAAAACCTGGTACCAAATATCATTGTTGTCGAATGCATATTACAGAAGTGAGGGACTTAAAACCCCAAATCGGATGAAACATATGTGTGGGAGCCATAGCTATATCTGAACCGATTTTCTTTTAAGTCTATGTACTTCTAGACTGAATTCGGTTGGATGTGCCAAAGTTCAGGTCATTTGAACCGATATTGGTCATTTGGTGCACAATAAACCTGCAATCGGTTGAAGATATATATTGCAGCTATATCGAAATCTGAACCGATTTTGATACAATTGTTAGATGTATTTCCGAGCTCTATTAGATATGTTGTACCAAAAATCATTGTTGTCGCATGCATATTACGAATATTAGGGACTTAAACACCAAATATGATGAAACCTGTACATGGGAGCTATAGCGATATCTGAACCGATTTTCATCAAATTGTGGCCATTTGGTGCACAATTAACCCGAAATCGTCTTAAGATATATATGGGAGCTATATCAACATCTGAAGCGATTTTGATATAATTTTGCGGAGGTATTTCTGGGCTGTATCTGATATCTGGTACCAAATATCATTGTTGTCGAATGCATATATATATATATATATATATATATATATATATATATATATATATATATATTTATATATATATATATATATATATATATATATATATATATATATATATATATATATATATATATATATATATATATATATATATATATATATATATATATATATATATATATATATATATATATATATATATATATATATATATATATATATATATATATATATTTGGGCTGATATTGGCCATTTGGTGACCAAATCGACTCAGAAAGTGATTCTACGGTGATCCTCAAAAGTAACTATGGATCTATCTCGCATCCTTCTCCATGTTACAAACAAATGTACAAAGACATAAGACCCTTACCACTATGTGGTGTAGGGTAGGTGTAGGTATAAAAATAGTTTTATGTTTTCCTATGTATGGCCGTTATCAGTTGTAGTTCTTTGTAGCACTTGTCACATCGGCCCTTTGTTATTGTATGCTATGGACTTATGGTATTCAAAATTTGTGTATTAAGAAAGAAATTTTAATTGTTTTATTTATTTATTTACTTATAGGCGATGATAAGATATGATGCGCCGACGCTATTCATATAAGAACAAGGAAAACAAATATTTGCAAAATACCCTCAACCGCATAGCCGGCCATTCCCCCACCATGCATAGCCACGGTGTGACAGTGAATTGGAGTGATTCATTAATTTTTCTGTTGTTGGTGTGTGCAAAAATTGTATTTTCGAAAATTGACGTCAAAATGCCATACCGGCGGCGCAATATGCTATTGTCAGTCAATATGTCTGCTTTGAAAACTAATGAGGATTTATCAACTCGATACCACTACAATGATGAGCTATCATGTGAAAGAATGTCCGGAGGAAATAACAACAAAAATTATATTCTCTTTTTGGCTGGACAAATTTCCAACACATGTTGATTAGCAATTTGTTTATTTTAAGATCGCCAAATTTATTTAAATTTTGATCAATTGGACAACTAGAAATGGGGGCTATATTAGATGGAAGGCCATTTAATGTCTTCTATTTGTAATAGACATCCTATTGGTAGAATCTTGTTCTAATACATGTGAGATCATCTATGGGTCAACTTTGTGCCAATAATCTTGAGTGGAGTGGTACTAAAACTCGGCGAAATTCAAAAATCTAGGTGAGGTTATTTTCTAAGCCTAACGATGGCAAGAAAAGATTAGTGAAGTACATCTGAAGGGATGTGGAATTCCTTGAAAATCGGTTTTCCTGAAAGATTTATACCCCCAGCCTTGAGTTATGATTATTCAAACAGTTGACCCTTTATGGGGAGTTTCCGAAGCAGTTGGCCAATTCGTTTCTTACCTAAGACCGATAAAAATATTACAACGTGCAAGATTTGGCAAGGGAACTATGAATTGCCTCGAGTATGACATTATTGAAGGATCTTTCGATGTCGAGAAAGGCTGCCAAAGTGAAGCACGAGTTGTTCAGGTTCATCTCTACGTATCGTGTCGTGTTGCGCTGATTCAACAGATTTGCCTATCATATAGGCATGTTGAGCTGTGCTGTGCAACGAGGTCAAGGGTATCATAGATTTAATCTCAATGTCTATTAGTCTCTCCAGCGTTTTCAATAGAAAGGACGAGAGACTGACAGTCCTGTAGTATTTTGGAAGTACATGACTTGGTTTCTCAGCCTTGGGAATATAAGTGACTGGAATTTCCCTCCACAGTGATGGAAAGTGAGAGAGACGCAGACAAACCTTAAATATCACCTCCAGGAATGATATTATTACCGTCGATGCATGCTGTAGCATGGCGGAGATAATGCCATCCGGTCCCAGTGACTTGAAAGGTTTGAATGAGTTCATAGCCCACAAAATCTTGGGAGCACTTACAATCCTCTCAGTCAGACTTACATCCTCCGCCCCACGTCTAAATCGATCTGACAATCGGTCATTTACCGCGTCGGAACAGTTCGAAAAGTGAGTACTGGCTAACAGATTGCGTGCCTCAAGACCAAAGGCAGTGCAGCTTCCGTCATTCCGCTTTATGCATCCAATGGATTTGGGGTCCTTTGAAAGTACTCTACGGAATCTGTAGGCTGCGTTGACATTTTCCCTCCACTGTGATGGAATGTGAGAGAGACGCAGACAAACCTTAAATATCACCTCCAGGAATGATATTATTACAGTCGATTCATGCTGTAGCATGGCGGGGATAATGCCATCCGGTCCCAGTGAAGGTTTGAATGAGTTCATAGCCCACAAAATCTTGGGAGCACTTACAATCCTCTCAGTCAGACTTACATCCTCCGCCCCACGACTAAACCGATCTGACAATCGGTCATTTACCGCGTCGGAGCAGTTCGAAAAGTGAGTACTGGCTAACAGATTGAGTGTCCCGAGACCAGAGTCAGTCCAGCTTCCGTCATTCCGCTTTATGCATCCAATGGATTTGGGGTCCTTTGAAAGTACTCTACGGAAACTGGAGGCTGCATTGACATTTTCTATGGACTCAGTAAAGCAAACCCAAGACTGTCTTTTGGCCTTTTTGTTCTCACTGTTGTACCGGTTGAAAGCTGATTTATAAGCCTCCCAGTCCGTACCCAGTTTGGTCTTGTTGGCCCTATTATAAAATCGTCTGCTTTTCTTCCTGAGCTGGGCTAGGTCTTTCGACCACAAGACAGGTTGGCACCTTTTGCCGGGGAAGGAAAGCGGACAAGCTCTTTCATAGCTCCCAATCAGGTTTTTTGTTATCAAATTAACGGACTCGTTCACATCTGCGGCGGAGTCCACTGGAAGATTACCAGTAGATCTCAGCTTCCATGCAGTGTGCTCCGCAAATTTGTCCCATCGAACCTTTCTCGTGTTCCTATGCGGTTTTTGATGCAATCCCTCTACTGATAACTGAAATGGAACACTCTGTGGATACTTTCCAACTCAGTATGAGTGACTCATCCATGTTAGTAAGGGAGAGATCAATAACCTCCTCCCTATTCTTATTTTGGAAAACAGTACATATTTTGAAATTATGTGTTAAAATAAAATCAAAAATGGACTCACCTCCTGCGTATCCTTACTGCCCCAATTGAAAATGGTGAGCGTAAGCATCACATCCAAGGACGAGATTACCTATGCTTCCCAACTCAGTGAAAAGCTTCTCTATTTCTTGGGCCGGCGGGTCGGGGTACTCAAAGGGTAGGTAGATGGAGACAATCTAACCGCCGTGGTTATAATTCTTCAACATTTTGACTCTTTGTGGGGGAGGTACTAGGCGGAGTGGAGCGATATTATCCATTTTCGCACCTAACCTAACACTGATGCAAATATTAGTATTCGCCAAGTTAGAGCAAAATCGGATTATCCTTTCACTTTCTGTGGAGTAAATTATTTTCTTTGAAAATGTTGACATTTTGTGGGGGAGGTACCAGAAGGAGTGGACCGATATTGATCATCTTCGAACTCGATCTAAGTTTGGCAATAATATTATGATGTACCAAGTTTGGATCAAATCGGAGTATCCGTATCGAGAGTTATCGTGCGCACCAGCCAGACGCACCAAATGTCCTAAAACGGATTTGGTCCAAAAAGACCTAGGGTCTAAAACCATTATTTCGATGAGGCACGTTTTGCCGATATCAAATGATATATAACCTATCTACCCATATGTCTGAAGATATACAGATAGGGGACATGTTTCCACCTTTGGATTTGCTCTTTATATGGGATGTGATGGTGCTTTAGGTTTGTCGATCCCCATCCCCAAAATTGCGAAAACAGCACGATCTTTATTGCAATCCAATATTTCCCTTTTTTCTCGCATTTTAAAGTATTTTTCATCGGTAGCATTTACTATAAGCTCTAATTAATAGTAAATTGTGGGTAAGTGGTGATGGGTTCACAGTCCGGATTTTCTTATGTTTAAGCTTCAATTTTATCTCCCGAAATTTCTTCTCGGATAATTAAAAGGGTAAGCTTATTTTTTATATATAGATGATTTTATATAGAAAAAGGACCATTCACATTTTCGATGAAGAGAACGGGTTCGTCAGACTTTAAACCTTTTATAGGTCATCCTGAGATGAAAAATATTTAAAATACCTTCTTAAGTTGGTCTTAGATTCAATAATTCAATTTTTTTAGTTGGTACTGTTTAGGCCAAATGCAAATTGTTTGAGAAATTTGAATCAAATTTAAAGCATACTTTTAGGCACATCTCATTTAGTTAGTAATTCTTGTATTTTTTATTAATTTTTCATATCTTTTTCTCCTCCAGGTCTGGCAAATGATGATAATCTTTTGGATAGTCTTATACTCGAAGTTCTGCAACAACACTCCGGCATACAACACCTGACAACATCTCAAGCCGAAGAAATGTACATACAATGTTGCCAACAGCTAGAAGGTTATGGCGAGGAGCGTTTTCAGGCCAAAGATAATCTTGGTAATGACATCAATTTGGGTTTGGCCATCAATGGAATGGTTGTGACAGCCGAAAATGGTCGACAATATTTCCCATGGAAAGATTTTCACACTGTGACCATTGATAAACGAACGATACGTATCGAACAGAATAAGTCGGATGGTACGCTGTTTGTGGGTTCGTTTATCTTTTCTGAGGCGGATACGGCTCGTTATTTTTGGAAATTATGTATAACACAACATAAATTCTTTAAACGTTATATCGATGAGGATTCATCGTCGAGCATGGGTGATGTGGAGAGTGCCAATGGTATATCGATTGGGGGTGGTGTTGGTGGGGCAGAAGCCATAAATGCCTCGGCTTTTAGTGGTTATGACTTGAGTGATTCGCGGGAGGATTTATTGATGGAACAACGTGCCATTTATGTGCCTGGTGCAAATAATTCCGTAACCATTGGCGGCGGGGGTGGTGGAAATAATGGTGGTGGTGGCGGCTATCAACAGGCCACCGTAACGCCACAACAAACCCAAGAGTATTTGTCCTCGGTTCAGTCATTGCATCATCAATCGAATAGTCAACTTCCGCCACATGGCATGATAACATCGGCCAACTCCTCATCGGCCCTGATGTCTTCCAATATCTCCCTGGCAGCTAGTCATCAATCGGGTAGTGGTAGAGCGGATAATAATGGTGGGATCAATGGTAGTGCTCTACACATGGGAGGGGGGCATCATGGCAGTAGTCAGTTGGGTCAAAGTTGGCTGAGCAAGGTAAGTGGTCGCTTCAATTGTTCAAAAGAAAGTTATTTATCTTTTGTTTTTTTTATTTCATTTTCAGGAGTACTCCCATGACTATGTCTCCTCTTCCCAACACTTGTCCAATAGCATTTTGGATACCCGCCTGCAGAGCAGTTCCTGTCAAGATTTGAGCAACAATAATCTCCACAGTAGTTCTAGTTTTTTGGGTCATACCAACAACAATCATTTGTTGGCTGCTGATGCCCATGAAAGGGAACGGCTGAAGGCTATGTTACCCACCTATAGACCAGCACCTGATTATGAAACAGCGGTCCAGCTGAAATATCGTTTCCCCTCCAATGAGTTGTATAATTTGAATCAGCTACAATATCAAGCTGCTGCTTTGGCAGCTCACAATTCGGCCGCAGTGTATTATGCAGGATCTCAGCCAGATGTCCATCAGGCAGGAGAAGGTATGATGTTGGGCCATCTGGCCACACATCGTTATCCAGATGTGGCCCAGCCGGCGCAAGCCATGCATGCTCAATATAATATGAATGCTGCCTCCCAGACTGCCGGCGGTGGCGGAATGGGTGGTTCTGGCCAGGGCAACAATGTCTATGTGGATGTATCACAACGCCTACAAATGATGAGAACAAAACCACCACCACCATATCCGGTGAATCGTTTAAGTTCTTCGTCCACACCCGATCTGGCGGTGGCCTCACATCGTCCGCTATTGGGTTATAGGGCCTATGTTTCGGGTTCATCACCCGATTTGGTGTCAAATCGTAATCTATTAAATTCCCAATATCCATATGGCGGGGGACAACCTTCAGCTTTGGTGGGTGGTCCGGGAGGAATCGCTGGCGGAGGTGGAGGGCAGATAACCACATCCTCGGGGGCCACCATGTTACATCAGTATCCCTATATGGGACACATGGGTCACTCCCAATCATATCTGCCGCCGCATGGAACATTTGAAAATTTAAATATGATTGAGGAGCAGCCCTCGATTATGTCACAACTACGGCAATCGGCCCTGTCCCAAGCAGCTGCGGCAGCAGCAGCCGCCGCCAACAATCAAAATAGCTATGAACAAAATTCTCCCACACTACCGCCCTCCGGCTATCGGTCTTCCTCCTCATCGTCCCAACAACAGGCCACACAATCTGGTGGCCTGCAACGCAATGCCATGAATGGTTCCATAGAACCTATTTATGAAAATGTACCACTGCCCCACTATCAGTCATCATCGTCGGTTACACCCCAACGTAATACCGAACAACGTTCCTCCGGGTCTTCATCAACATACAATAGTGAACAAGCGGCCATGCGAAATCGCACGTCTTCCATACAATCAGCACCGGGTGGTATTCATCAGCAGCAGCAGCAACCTCCAGTGCCGGCGGCAAGGCATCATCATTTACAACAGCAGCAGCAGCAGTATATGCAATCTCCAGCCGATGAGCCAGATGAAATTTCAATGAATATTAAAAAATTCAGTCATCAAACTCAACAAGATCGAGCGGCTAGCACGGATATGCAGCTACTGGATCCAACGCCACCTCAACGAGCAATGAGAGCCGCATCTGCAGCCCCTGCCATTGGACAAACATCCAATAGCAATAATCTTAGCAATCATGAAACCAACACTCCCATCAAAGTTACTCCACCACCGCGGCAGCATAGGAATATGAAAAATTCCTCATCAGTATCGGCTGCCGATATACCTCCCTCCTCGCCAATGTCTTCCTCCTCAACAGCGGCAGCCATGAATTCAAGTCGTCTGATTGCCTCCTCATCTTCCGTGTCCCATGATGATTCTTTGAATCAACAATTCGCCACCATGAATTTGTCTTCCACATCATCTTCCATGTACAACAGTACCCTAGATACAACCACACAAAGTTCAAGCACTGCAAATAGTTCGTCGAAGCAAGAGAAACGTAAAAAACGTTGGAATTTCTTGGGTCGCAGTAAAACGCCCGATAAACAAAAGTCAGCCACACTGGGACGAGAGAAGGCATCGAATACCACAAAGTTGCAGAAAATTAAGCTGGCTCAGGATGATTTGAATTTACATCATCGCTGGTCGACGGGAGTGCCAAAACTGCAACCCATATCGGGGCAATTCTCAAAGGATAAATTGGTAAGGTTTCCTCTTTTTTTTATACTCTCAGCCATATGGCTACAGGGGTATATATCATTTGATACGGCCAAAACGTGACTCACCGCAATAAGGATTGTAGACCTTAGTTCTCTTTGGACCATATCCGGTTAAGGACATTTGGAGTCGATCTAGCGATGTCCGTCTGTCCGATAACTCTCGAGAGAGTATCCGATGTGCTCCAAACTTGGTACATCGTAATATTATTTTCAAACTTAGATCGGGTTCGGTCTACTCCTTCTGGTATCACCCACATAAAATGGCAAAATTTTCAAAAAAAAAAAAAAAAATAATAATAATTTTCTGCACAGAAAGTAAAAGGAAAATCCGATTTTGCTCCAATTTTGCAAATCCTAATATTTGCATCGGTGCCAGGTCAGGTACGGAAATGGACAATATCGGTCCACTCCATCAAGTACCTCTCCCACAAAGGGTCAACATTTTGAATAATTATAACTCTTATAAAATGTGATGTAAGAGTCCGATTGTCTTCAAATTGCACACATCACAATATTTTTATTAACCCAAGGTCTGGTGTGAAGATGGAATATATCGGTACACTCCTTCTGGTACCTCTCCCACAAAGGGTCAAAACTTTAGATATTTATGAAGCTCATAAAACGCGAAATTAAAATCCGATTCCATTCAGACTTGGCACGTCTCAATATTTCCGATTATAAAAACCGAAATAAGCATCCGGTTCTCTTCATCTTTCACAAATCCCGTTATTTCTACTAACACTAGATCTGATGTGAGTATGGAATGTATCGGTACACTCCATATGGTACTTCCTCCACAAAGGTTCAAAATTTTGAAAATGAATGAAGCTTATAAGATTATAAGATTCAATATTTCCATAAACACAAGATCTGTTATAAAGATGGTATAGATCGGACCATTCCTTCTGGCACCTCACCCACAAAGGGTTAAAGTTTTGAATAACCAAAACGATCATTAAATCCAAAATAACCATCCAGGTCTCTTCAAATTATACACATCCCACTATTTCTACTAACACAGGATCTGCTGTGAAGATGGGATATCTCGATCCACTCCTTACACTCTCCTTACGAATTGGGCAAAATTGTCCGACTGCTTCGGAACCACGCCCATAATCGGTCAACAGTTTGAATAATCATAACTCAAGGCTGGGGGTATAAATCTGTCGGCAAAACCGAGAGATATTATTTTACTTGTTTAATTATGAGTTTAGTGGTTTTTCCAAACTCATTCTCCCATCCCAATTGAACCAAGATTTAAAAGTTTTACTTATTTTTTTACTTTTCAATTTTACAGAGCCAAATACTCAACGATAAACTGAATGATTCCCAACTCTTTATGGAATTCGAGGGCATACCGAAACGTCGTGATATGGCCCGTTATGATTGTGCCCTGTTGGAAGAGAATGCCATGAAAAATTCCGATCCTAATTTCCTACCCTATGAAGATAATCGGGTGCGTTTAACACCCACCATGGAAAATCGTCATGGCTATGTTAATGCCTCGCATATTTCGGTGAGTGGTCTAAATATTATTATTGAATATTTATTCAATGTGTTTTGTTCTGGTATTTTTATAGGCCACTGTTGGTAACAAACAACGTTTTTATATTGTGGCTCAATCGCCCCATGAAGATTTGACGACACGCATATTTTGGCAATGCGTTTGGGAGGCTGATGTCTATTTAATTGTCCAGTTGTCGGAGGATTTAAATTACATACCTCCCAATACAAATCAACGAATGGAGTTTGGTCAGGTAAGTCATTATCAAAACGAAGAAGATGGAAGAAAGAAAGCCCAATTAATAGGATAATAATTGAAAACCAATCCTCTAGCTGACTTATTTTTGCGGAAACCAATCCGAAACATATCTTCGAAGATTGAATGAATTGGGATATTGGTTTGCATAAATAATAAAGCATAACATTTCAGCTATAGTTTCAGCAGCTCTTTTTAAAAACTAGTGGACAAAGAAAATCGTTGAATTTAACATTTGTCTGCAAGAAAATCAGAATGCCATATTAGATACGATTTTGAAAGTTAGTTTTTCGTTTAGTTTAAGACAGCTACTTCGAACGGTCCTTTGTGTTCATCCTAAAAAATTATGTGGAAAGTGAAGAGACATCGTGGAAGCAGGGCCGTGAATGCCACGCATGAGAAAAAGAAAAGCTTTTGAAAACCCCAGAAAGAAGAAAAGAATCAAAGTTTAAAATCCTGGTGTTCCCGGCCAGATTAACGTCTTTACCTTGTGTCTTTGTTCAACACACCAACACTTAGTGGACAAAGAAAATCGCTGGATTCAAGATTTTTCTCCAATGAAATCAGAATCCCATGTTAGATACGATTTTGAAAGTCAACTGTTCGTTTAACTTGAGACAGCTACTTCGATCGGTCCTTTGTGATCATCCTAAAAACTTATGTGGGAAGAGAAGAGACATCGTGGAAGTAGGGCCGTAAATTCCACGCCTGAGAGAAAGGAAAAGAATTGCTTACCACTGAAAGTCGCCGCAGAAGTTGTGATTGATGTCATTTTCTTCTCGCCTTATAAAATCCACAGTTTTAGCCATCTTCATTTGCCTTCATTTGCAAATCATGAATCTTACGCGACAGAGACTGACTGAGTATCGCGGCAGATAAAAGTGCTCAATACATTTTCAATTTTCTACTCCCCTTAAATAGCGACATGAGACTGGTAATGACCACACCGCGTTTTTATACTCTACACCACATAGTGGTAAGGATATTATATCGTTATGCATTTGTTTGTAACATGGAGATGGAAGCGAGATAGACCAATAGTTACTTTTGAGGATCTTCCTAGAATCACTTTCTGAGTTGATTTATGCATGTCAGTCCGTCCGCCCGTCCGTGTATTCTTGTGAACAAAATGCAGGTCGCATTTATTATCCGATTGAGCTGAAATTTTCCAAACAATATTTGTTTGGCCCTAGGACGAACCCAATTGAAATTGGTGATAATCAGATCAGATTTAGATATAGCTCCCATATATATCTTCAACCGATTTAAGGTTAATTGTGCACCATATGGCCAATATCTTTTAGGTATATTCAATCGAATTGAGTCTAGAAGCAAGTACATAGAATTCGGAGAAAATTCAGATTCAGAAAATTCAAATTAGGTTCAGATATAGCTATAGCTCCCATACATTTGTTTCATCCGATTTGGGGTTTTAAGTCCCCTACATTCATAATATGAATTCTAAAGCAATGATAATTGGTATCAGGTATCCTATAGAGCTCGGAAATACCTCTGCCAAATTTTATCAAAATCGGTTGCAATTTATAATTTATAATATAGCTCCCATATATATCCTCAACCGATTTCGGGTTAATTGTGCACCAAATGGCTAAAATCAGACCAAATGACAGGAATTTCCGCAAATCCGACTGAATTCATCCTATTAACAAGTACTTCGAATTTGGCGAAAATCCAGTCAGATATAGCCATAGCTGCTATATATATGTTTCATCCGATTTTGGGTTTTAAGTCCCTTGCATACGTAATATGCACTCCCCAACAATATTCTTTGATACCAGATATCAGATTGAGCACAGAAATAAGTGTTTAAAATTTTGTGAAAATCGGTTCAAATTTAAATATAGCTCTCTTATATAACTTCAACCGATTTCGGGCTAATTGTGCACAAAATGGCCAATATCTGTTCAAATCACCTGAATTTTGTTACATTCGATCAAATTCAGTCTAGAAGCAAGTACATCACATTCGTAAAATACACTCCACAATTATGATATTTATTACCAGATATAAGATAAAGCCCAGAAATACCTCTGTTAAATTTTATCAAGATCGGTTCAGATGTGGATATAGCTCCCATATATATCTTTATCCGATATCAGATTTATTATGCACCAAATGTCTAATATCAGCCAAAATGAACTTGGCAATTCCGACTGAATTCATCCTAGACAAAAATACTTCATATTTTGTGAAAATCGTTTCAGATGTAGCTATAGCTGCCATATATAAGTTTCATCCGATTTGGGGTTTTAAGTCCATCATTTTGGTAATATGCACTCCACAATTATGATATTTATTACCAGATATAAGATACAACCCAGAAATACCTCTGTCAAATTTTATCAAGATCGGATCAGATTTGGATATAGCTTCCATATAATCCAAATGGCTAATATCAACCCATATGGACTGAACTTGGCAATTCCGACTGATTTCATCTTGGAAACAAATACTTTAAATTTTGTGAAAATCGGTTCAGATATAGCTACAGTTCCCTTATATATGTTTCAATCCCTCACATGCGTAATATGCACTCCACAAGAATGATATTTGATACCGGACATCAGATACAGCTCGAAAATACCTCGGCTTTTAATCAAGATAGGTTCATATGTTTATATATTTTCGATATATATTTTCCTTTTTTATATTTAACCAAATTTTTCCATTTGGTGAAACTTGGTCCGGAATATCTATTGCTTCAATAAATATTTTCCTACCCTCAGCCATAGGGCTACAGAGACAATATATCTTTTGATACGGCCAACACGTTCCTCATCGAAATAACGGTTTAAGACCCAAGGGCTCTTTGGACCAAATCTTCTTCAGGACATTTTGGAGTCGATCTAGCGATGTCCGTCCGTCAGAGTTGGATATATTTTCCAAATTGTGACTACTCTAAAGCCAAGATACGCATTCAAATAAAATTCATAGTTGGTATGATTTTCTTCACATAAATTCCCAATTTAAACCTTTTTTGTTATGGGAGCTCTGCTAAATAGGCATAGTAGTGTAAGGTATCATATAGCCGGTCTCGCCCGAATTTTGACCTTTCCCTAATGGTTTTATCTTGACCTTAATGTTAGAGAGTTTCTCTTTCTCTTTCTCTCCTATGTTATACGAGTAGAAAGTATCGGTCGATTGTTATTTTTCTTTTAAATGTGACTTCTCATGGCTTGAGTTTTTTTATAAACCGAAGGTTTTTTTCAAACCATGTTTTGAAAAATTTGTTTAAATATTTTTTTTATTTTAATTTTGATTATGTTATTTACTTGCCAGACATTTATGGGCTTTCTCTGTCTGCACATATCGAATTTATTCACCCTTTTCTATTCTTGAAACGAATTTTTCTCTGATTTTATTTCTTCTTCAATTTCTCCCCCTTTTATAGTTCCAGGTTTATCAGGAATTCTCACAAACTACCGACCGTTGTATAACAAGTAAACTGCGTCTTTATCACATACAATCAAGGCGTTATCGTTCGGTATGGCATCTAAACTACACCGATTGGGGTGAACAAAATTGTCCACGAGATGTAAATCATTTCTTGGATTTTCTCGAAGAATTGAATTCAGTGCGTATGGCTTCAATAAATGAAGTGCCGCCCGGACACAATACCAATCCACCTGTGCTATTGCATTGTCTAGAAGGTGGCGGTAGATCAGGTGTGACATTGACAGCTGACTTGTTGCTTTATACGCTTGACCATAATGAGGTTTGTAGACAAAGTTGTGTGGTTTTTGCATCTGTTTTTCTAAGATTGTTTTTTTGTGATATTTCTCTTTTTGCAGGACTTGGACATACCCCGTGTCATTGGTAATTTGCGACATCAAAGAGATAACATTATACCATCTTTGGCTCAATATAAATTTATTTATAGTCTGCTCATAACATATCTAAAACGAACGAGATTAATTTGAAAAAAAAATTTACACGATCATATATTTTTTGTTTTCATTGTAATTCAAAATTTTCTATTTCGGAGATCTTGAAATCCTCCTCATATGTATACAACGATTTTCATTTATATCACTACTTAGCTATGGCAATTTAATTGCCTTTTTTGAAATTAGTTTAATTTATTGCCCTGTTAACTAAATTCGAACAATTTTTTTTATTCCCCTCTCCGATGATAGGGTGCTCCCTTTAGTCTTATTGAAAATTATACCCGGCCCTTGTATTTATCAAATCAATGCTGCTCATTAAATATATTTTCACTACCCCTGCCCCCTCTGCTTTCATGTATATAAACCCCTTATTATTCATTTGTATGCGAAATTTTCTAAAATAATTTATACAAAAATTTATTTTCTATTCTTTTTAATATTTATATATTTAGAGCATAGAATGTATGTATTTTTATTTAATTATTATAATTACATGTTTTTGTTTTTGAGTAGCAAAGAGGTTTAAGTAAAAAAAAACGAAACAAGTGTAATAACAACAGCTTCCATATTCATCATTCATTGTTTTTTTGAAGTAACTTCATATTATTCACCATCAAGTTTTTCTTGTTGTTAGCTTTAAGTTTAAGAAGACAAAAGAGTTAAGCAATTATTTGTGCCTTGTATTAAATAAATAAAACAAAACAAAAACTTTAAGTTTATATACAAAATAAAATATACAAATACGAAAAAAAATTGGAAATTAGTTTTTGCATACGAAAAAAACAAAAGAACCTTCACTCAAAATCTAAGGTGGTCAACTCTATAGAGTGACAAAATGGAAAAGGGATAGATAAATGGAAATAAGGTCTTCAAAGAAAAAAAAACCGAGACTTCTTGAGAAACCAACTTCTACTTGGAACTTTGTAGATTTGGATTTAAATTGGATTAAAGAGAAAAGAAAATTCTAAGGCTTCCTGAAAAAGGAACTTCTACTTCAGAATATTGTTTTTTCTGTAATTAAGATTTTTTACCTGAAGAATAAACTATTTCAAAAAGTATGTGTCAAAAAATTTTAAAGCCAAAAATTCTTAAATTTTAGAATTATCAGAGTTATATTCGTTGATAACACTTTGCGACAAAATGTTTTTTTTTTTTCAAAACTGGAAAACCGACAAAAGATTGGGAAAGTAAAGCTAAGATTAGAAGAATTAAAAGCTACAACTAACTCAAAAACGCAGTTCCCCACTCATACACATTTTTTGAAGTTCTGATTAAGATTCCTTGGATTCCGTTGATTTTATGTTTATCGCGTCTTCGTTAATATTACTGATAACCATATAATAATTATTTCTGTCGAAAATTCCAAGTTAGTCACGAAAGAGGTCGTTTTGCCACTTTTTTTCCAAGCCTGATAAAAAACTTCTTTTAAGCATGATCGTCGAAATTTAAAATATTCTATACAATTATTTGTCACAAAATTCCACTACAGATTCCCGAATCAATCAAAAGTCGAAATCGTACATAAACGCCAGGAATTCAAAATCAAGGTTTGTTGGAATAAAGTCCTTTAAGAAAAGGTTTCTTTTGTTTTTAACAAAAGTTTTATGAGTCGAAAAGTCCTTAAATATTTTTGAGGATCTTCATAGAATCACTTTCTGAGACGATTTATGCATGTCAGTCCTTTTGTCCGTTCGTCCGTCAGTCCTTGTATTTTTGTGACCAAAATGCAGGTCGCATTTATTATCCGATTAAGATGTAATTCGCCAAACAAGGACGAACCCCATTGAAATTGTTGAGAATCGGTTAAAATGTAGATATAACTCCCATATTATCTTCAACCGATTTCGTGTTAATTGTGCACTAAATGGCCAATATCAGTCCAAATGACCTGAATTTTGCCACATCCGACCGACTTCAGTCTAGAATAAAGTACATCAAATTTGCAGAAAATCGGTTCAGATATAGCTATAGCTCCATACACATGTTTCATCCAATTTGGTGTTTAAGTCCCTCACATTCGTAATATGCATTCGACACCGATTATAGTAGGTACCATATATCAGATGCAGCCCAAATCTGATCAAATTTTATCAAAATCGGTTCGGATTTGGATATAGCTCCCATATATATTTTCAACCGATTTCGGGTTAATTGTGCACCAAATGGCAAATATCATTCCAAATGACCTGAATTTTAGCACATCCAACCGAATTCAGTCTAGAAACAAGCACACCAAATTTGGTGGTTTGAAAATCGGTTCAGATATAGCTATAGCTCCCATATATATATTTAATCCGATTTGGTGTTTAAGTCCCTCACATTCGTAATATGCATTCGACACCGATGATATTTGGTTTCAGATATCTTATAGGGCTCGGAAATACCTTTGCCAAATTTCATAGAAATCGATGATTTGGATGTAGACCCCATATACAGGTTGAGATAAAAAGACTGCAACAAAGCAAAAAATGTCGGAAAAAGCATCAAGTTTTAGAATATGTCTAGATTTGTTCGAATTGGTCACCTTTGGCGCGAATTATGGCCTTTCAACGGCCAATAAAACCGTCACACGCTGCCCGAATGTTGCTCTGTATTTAAGTCCAAATATGCACTCCACAACAATGATATTTGGTACCAGATAGAGCTCCGAAATACCTTTCCCAAATTTTATTGAGATCGGCTCAGATTTGAATATAGCTCCCATATATATCCTTAATCCGATTTTAGGTTTATTGTGAATTCGGGACGTACGTTTCCATTTGGTGGAACTCGGCTTTGACACATATTTTTGATACCCTCAGCCATATGGCTACAGATACAGATATATCATTTGATACGGCCAAAATCTGCCTCAAATTATCAAACGTGGTTTTTTAAAGAATATCTTAGGGCTCTTTGGACCAAATCAGTCGGAGACGATCTAGCGATGTCCGTTTGTCCGTCTGGCTGACTGGTGCACACGATAACTCTCGAAGGGAGTATCCGATATGGTCCAAACTTTGTACATTGTCATATTATTATCAAACTGAATTCGAGTTCGGAGATTGGCAATATTGGTCCACTCTTTCTGGTACCTTGCCCATAAAAGGTCGAAATATTCAAAGAAAATATTTTACTGCACAGAGAAAGAAAGGATGATCAGATTTTGCTCTAACTTTGCGAAACCTGATATTTGCATCAGTTCTACGTCAAGTGCGAAAATGAAAAATATTGGTCCACTCCATCAAGTACCTCCCCCACAAAGGACCAAAATTTTGAATATTTATAACTCTTATAAAATGTGATATTAAGAGACCAATTGTCTTCAAATTACACACATCATAATATTTTTTGTTAACCCAAGGTCTGGTGGAAATATGAAATATATCGGTCCACTCCTTCTGGTACCTCCCCCACAAAGTGTCAAAATATTGGATTTCCATGAAGCTCATAAAACGTGAAATTGACATCCGATTCCATTCAGACTTGACACATCTCAATATTTCCATCAACACAGGATCTGTTATAAAGATGACAGAGATCAGACCATTCCTTCTGGCACCTCCCCCACAAAGGGTCAACGTTTTGAATAACCAAAACGATCATAGAATCCGAAATAAGCATCCGGTCCCTTCAAGGTCTGGTTTGGAATTGGGATATATAATTCCACTCCTTTTGGTACAACCCCCACAAAGGGTCAAAATTTTGAGTATCCATGAAGGTCATAACTCGCGAAATTAACATCCGATTCTATTCAGGCTTGGTACATCTCAATATTTCCATCAACATAAGGTCTGTTGTAAAAATATTAGAGATCGGACCATTTTTTCTGGTACCTCCCCCACATAGGCTTCAAGATTTTGAATAACAAAACGCTCAAAGAAAGCGAAATAAGTCCAACTCTCTTAAAATTTCACACTTCCAAATATTTTTGCTATTGCAATATCTGTTGTGAAGATGCTATACATATGCCAACCCCTTCTAGTACCTCACCCACAAAGGTTCACAATTTCCAATACTTATACCTGCAATATCTTGTAAAACAAGTTGGCGATTCTTTACCACTCTCTATATCCAAATATTTCTCTCAACCAGAAATCTGATATGAATATATACTTTATCGAATTTTATGATTTCGCATAAAATTGGATATAAATGTTCGATTTTCTTGTAATTTTGTCCATACCAATATTTTTATCAGTATTAGATGAAGTGTAAAAATGGAACACCTCACGCAAATTTTAACATTTTCTAAAAATGATCACAAGTGAAGGAAGCAACCAATATAGTCCGAACCAGGCACGTCGCAATATGTATATCATATTTAATTAGGTCCGATACGGAATGGACAATATTGGCCCATGCCTTCGAAACCTACTCCATAGAGGGTCACAATTTGAACAATCATAGCAGAAGTCAAAATATATTTAAATAATCGAACATGTTGGCCATACCGACTGATACTTTTTAACTTGTTTTTTTTTTTTTCAAATAAGACATGAGCTAAGTGAAAAAATGTAGTTTGCGGACCCTTTAAATTGGAGCAGAAACGACGTTCTGTTTGATTTGCATTGATATAAACATGGAGAACTATTTACAAGTTTTTGTCCCCAAATCCCTGGTGTAATAAAATTGTCTCCACACTTCTTGTCCCCGAATTTCTGGTTGTTACACCCATCTAAAACAAAGAAATCATTATATTTATTTGTTTGGTTGACCATAAATCTGGTGACACTTCGTTCGCCCTGATGTACACCATCTAATATATTTAATTTTTCCTTCAATAAAAAAATTGTCTCCTATTGGAATTGATGGAATTTCAAATAGATTTTGTTTGTTTGGTAATAAGAGCAAAAATTTCTTTTATTTGTTGCAAAGCAATAGTTTGATATAAATAGATTTTTTTTACAATCTTTCAACATGCATATATAATAAAATTTTTGATTTTATTTTTCAATATTTTCTTTGTTTTTTATTGTTAAATAGTTTATGGGTGGTTGGGCTTTGGCAGCATTTTAAAGAAAATAAAAACATGATTTTTTTTTAATTTTTCCGTTGCTTTTTATTGTTGGTGTGCTTGGATGAACGATAATTGTAAGGGGGGAAATGTACATAATTAAAATTAAGATTTATTTAATATAATTAAAATTAGTTTATTTTTTTATGGTTTTAATTACATATATAGAAAATTCATTTAAAAACTAAAAACAAAACAAAAAAATAATTAATTAATTATGACTATGTTTGTTTTTTGCCTACAAAAAATATATATGAATGGTTGTTGCATGATTTGCTGTTGGAAAAGAGGATGGATACATGATTTTATTTGTTTTTATTGACTTAAAATTAAAATAAATTTAAATTTTTCATAAATTTTAAATTTAAATTTTTTATAAATTTTAATTTAATTGTTTTTTTCTGTTTTAATTATTTAATATTTATAAAATATTCGAATTGTTTCTTTTTTTTTTGAACATTTTAAAACATTATTGTTTGTTTTTTGTTTCAGTTTTATTATTTAAGATAAATACAGAATTCAATTCCTTTATTATTTTGTAAAAATAATTTATGTATGTTTTTTGTAATCTTAGTAAATTTCAAGCAAAATATATTGTATATGAATAGTAGAAGATGGAAGGGGCGGGCGGGTCAATGTGGTTACACTTTCCCAGGTTTATTGCCATCATTTAAAAGGCCCAAATTCGTTAGAATATTGCAGATTTGAAAAAGGATTTAAAAAAAACTCAAGGCTTAGAAAAATATTTGGATATTG